AAAACAAAAACAGTCCTGCCATCTTTGATGCACATCTTCAGAAGTATGATTTTAATTTGAGGCTAATGGAAAAAGGAATTATAGACCTAGACTTGCGAAGAGAGACTCAACGGAGGGGAAAAAAATCAAATAAATGACAGTGGTTGAGGGGGGGAGAGAGGAGGGGTGGCAAACAGGGGAGGGAAGGAGTGTACAGACTACTAGCAGGAAAAAGGGGATGTTCCTGTACCACCCAATACTGTGCTGTATATGTAAAAACCAGAACAGAAATTAATTGGTCTGGGTGCCATTTTGAGCCGCAGTGGAGCTTGACATTGCGTAATATGACAGGAGTCACTGTGGATTCTATCCGATTTTTCTGGTGTAATTTTGGCCCAGGACAGTGTGTGAAAATGGAAGTGGAGAGCAGAAGGAGAGAACATGGAAGTGGTGGCTGTGCCCCCATCATCACTACCTTTCTTTCGTTACCAGAGGAATGAAAGATGCTGTGCTTGCCACAAAAGTCAGCAGGCAACCTGTGTAGAGCCAGAAGATAAGGAAGAGAGGCAATGGCATTGGGTGTTTTTGCATAGTGCTGTTTTGATGAGGTAATCTACCACACTCCATACAGAGATAAAACCTGAAGGTTTTTTGCTTGTGTGTGCCTCTCCAGTACAGCAAGGGTGGTTGAAGAGTAGTGGCTACACTGATGGCAGTAGGCCACCAGAAGTGGCGATTTCATTTTATGTCATAATAGGGCTTACCCTGATGAAGTGGCTAGAAGTGTAGTTCTAGTTTTAAAATTTTTTGATGTATTAAAGAGTGTGACAGTGTGTGGCCTATTTAAATGGTGAAGCACCATTCCTGGTAGATTTCACAAGCTACAACTCACCCTTTTTGGTGAGTTGTGGTCTCTTGTCTGTGAAAATGAAGCACCATTCCTGGTAGATTTCACAAGCTACAACTCACCCTTTTTTCTCCCTCTGGGGAAAATGCACACTGGAAGAGAACTGTAGGATGTAAAAACAGCCTTGGGAACTTTTCCTATAACAGGGATTGTGTTTGTTCACTCCTACTATAGACACTTGCCGAGGAATAAGACCCTCTGAACTCAAGGGGACTTGCTTCTCAATTGGTATGTACCACTTTGCAATCTGCATCATGGCAGAGGTTATTAGAACTTAATCAGACACATACTGTATCCACAGTAATGAATCTCTCTTTCTTCTAACCTGTTCTCTGCAGGTGTAGAACTAGTTTCCTTGGCTATTCTACTCATGAGCAGTTAACAAATTCTTACAATGAAGCCTTCAAGATTTAACTGATTTTGTCATAAAGCAGCTGTAACTGCAAAGTTGCAATTTTTAGATAAGAGGATCAATGGGGATGGAATGTGGGGGTTAACAGGTGCTTTTATTTTGCAGGACGAGGCTGTCCTGCAGCTTCTTGGTGTGTTTTTCCCCCCTATAATGTTCTACACATGAATGAATGAATGAATGAATGAATGAATGAATGAATGAATGAATGAATGAATGAATGTTCAATAACATCTGCTGCTGCTGTTTCTTCTTCCCATCTTTGCCCAAGGCAGCATCAGCCTGAAGTTGCTTTTCATTTTAAACACACATGCACCTGTCATGGCTTCATTTCATGTGTTTTCATATGACAAAGAGTTTGTCCTAAGCAAATCTCTGATATTCGTATAACCTGCAAAGAATTTGGACACAACGCAGGAGAATGTATCCCTTGTGGTCTCTTGTCTGTGAAAATGGATGACAACTTTACCATAAAATACAATTATTACATAACAGGAATGGGAATCATACCCCCACTTCTCACTCTTGTTTTTTGAAAGACAAATGTGTTAACTTCTTATAATTACTCACAAAGAGTTGGAAACAATGAAGCACAAGGTCCTTTTGCAATCTTTGTGCATCCATCCACTAATTATTTATGTGTCAGAACATATTGAATTGTGGTGGTGGAAGAGACCTTTGAGAGTCCCCTGGACTGCAAAGAGAACAAACCTATCACCTATCACAGCCCTAACACTGTGCATTCTGAAGGAAATCAACCCTGAGTGCTCACTGGAAGGACAGATCCTGAAGCTGAGGCTCCAATACTTCTCATGAGAATAGAGGACTCCCTGGAAAAGACCCTGATGTTAGGAAAGTGTGAGGGCAAGAGGAGAAGGGGAGGACAGAGGATGAAATGGTTGGATAGTGTCATGAAAGCTACCAGAATGAATTTGACCCAACTCCAGGAGGCAGTAGAAGACAGGAGGGCCTGGCATGCTCTGGTCCATGGGGTCACGAAGAGTCAGACATGACTAAACAACAACAACATCTTATCATAAAAGGTCAAAAATTGGTTGGGTGGAAGATGGATTTTCTGATAAATTGTAGCTTCTCTGTTACCTGCTCTTCTGATTATTGTAAAGGAAATTGTCCAGTCCTGTGGCCTGCTTCTGGGGAAGAATTAACTTTTAAAGTCAATCAAATGGCTTGGTCTTTCACTGGGGACAACAGAGGATGAGATGGTTGGACAGTGTCACTGAAGCAACCAACATGAATTTGACCCAACTCCAGGAGGCAGTGGAAGATAGGAGGGCATGGTGTGCTCTGGTCCATGGGGTCACGAAGTCGGACATGACTTAATGACTAAACAGCCACAGAACAGCAACATTTTTCTCCTCATGATTGACTCCTAGAAGGATTCTCTAATTAGTGTCTGCACTTAGTAGCTTTAGAATGTATTTTCCTATTCCAGTTTTCCTGGAATATGAATGTATTTTCCTATTTCTTGAATCCTCATGATAGGCCAGTTTAGTCAGCACCCTGCTCTTCGACATGTCTTCCAGGTCTCCCACTTGTCCTTCTACCTCCCTGGACGTTTGCAGGCTGACCCCTTTTAAACACTCTCTTTTTTTCTTTTGTCTAGTTTTGTTAGTAAAGCAGGGTTTTTTAAAAAAAAATGAGTTGTACTTTCTAAACTATCTGTTTTTGATGGTTATTTTCTTCCTCTCTTCTTCCTTTGTCTCTCAGAGTAGTTTCCCCACTTTCTTTTAACTTATTTGTACAGAGTCATGTACATCAACAAATCTATAAAAACAAATGAAAGTAGCATTAATAATAATAGGCTTTCTATAATATTTCTGCAAAATGTATCCTACAGCCGTTCAGTTAACCTGAAACACTATCCGCCCCCCACAAGGGGAGGTAGAGTGAGATTGGGGTTGCGTGTGTGTTCCCCCCCAATGCCCAGTTGCAGTCCTGGCTCAAGGACTTTGTTGGACCTCAGACACAGCACCCAAAGTGAGCCCCCCCTAACCTGGAAGAGGCAGGACATGCAAGCTGAGATCATCCTAAATATCTAATGCAAAGAGGGAATGGTGATCCAATGGCAGTCCCAGGAAAATGCCCAATATTTCCACCCTCTGTAGCCAAACCTGCCCAACTAAAAAAAAGATCTTCAATCATGATGTAAAGGCTCTTTTATCAGAGGGCTGAGAGCACAACCAGATGGGGGAAGTTGGAGTGATCCAGTTCATACTTAAAAGGTTCTTATCTTTGATGTGATCTATTTTATCTCGCACTTGAGCAACCCTTCCTTTCACAAGAGAGACATTTCTTCTTCCATGAGAAGAACCCAGACAGCTCTTCGGATCGTTACTGTTGGTTCTTCTTTTATGGATGCCCCCATCCCTGCCCTTGCCCCTGCCATTACATGAGTCATGGCAATGTCCCCCTTTTATGTTAAATAAAAGTGACAAAGTGCTATAGCAATGCATCAATCTAGCATGGCGTGCATGTTAAAAATATTGTACTGAAAAATGTATTAGAATTATGCTGTGTTAGTTATGGAAATATTTAAAAGAAGAAGATGAAAATAGAGGAAGAGGTTTCTCCGTCCTCCCTTCTAATACTGCAACCCACTGAATATGTCACAGGGTTGTCACTTCAGATAACACTGCCCACAGATGGGGGTGAATTAGCCAACCACACGGGCTACAGAATGGAATAATCTGGAGCACTCCAAATCACACCAAATACATTGCAGCCCTAACACTGTGCCAGAAAGGACAGCTTGTAAAAAGGGCAGGATGGATCGCTCTTATTGAAAACACATTTGGTCACTGGAAAATACGACAAACCAAACTGCACCAAACCCAAACCAAATAGCAAACTATATGCCCATCGGATTTCCCTCTGAGATTAAAAAATAAGTACTGTTAAACATTGTAAAAAATTTATTTACAGCATGCTCCGTGTCTATTAAGCACCATATATTACTTTGAAATCTTGGAAAAACTGTGCAAAAGGGCAAAACTGTTTATTCATGGATTTCCTTCAGCTGAATTTTGCATGAAAGGCCTCTTTAAAGCTCTGTAATCAATCAGCTCCTTCATTTCCACCCACTTGACTTAGAAGGAACCAATCTGCTTAAAGATATGTAGCAAGGGCGGGGGGGACGACAAAAGGAGCCTTGTGTTTAATCAATGTGGGAGGGAAATAACAGTGCAGTTGTGATCTCTGAGGCAGGAAATATGACAAAAATTAATCACAGAGCGCTAGCTGACAACGTGATTTGTATGTGTTCTCTGCTCTTGTTTGCAAGTGCCACCAAAGTCAAACTGTATTTAACAAACTCAGGCCCCAGCCAGCATCCAAAGGCATTTCTGCCAGTTTCACCAGTTGAAGCACAGAGGCTCTCTCTCTCTCTCTCTCTCTCTCTCTCTCTCCTCTTTTGTTCTGATATTTTCTGTTTTTCTGAGGAACCAAGTAATCTCCATATCTTCCACTTCTCTAGCCAGATCATGTTACGCCTTCTTTTTCTGCATCAATGAAGCAAGAATGGGTAAAGCTGAGAAGGATCCTTGATGTAAAGGCAGATGTGCATTTTAAGGCTGAGTGAAGTTATAGAAGGAAGAGAAATATTCTTCATTATGACACAGGGTACGATTTTTCAGGATGCATTAAGGTGCTTCTCTGTTAACAGATGCAAAAACCATGCACGATGAAATGCTGGCTCTTTATAAAACTTTTTGTAGGGCTTTTGGTAATGATGCTAGCCTCCTCTCTCCCATTCTTCTCTCTGCAAATAAAAACCAAGCATATATCTTTTGAGATAACAGTGATGTTGCATCTCAGGAAGAAAATAGATTGATTAGCTGTGAAAATGATTTCACATTCTGTTCTTTGGAATGAGTTATTTCCAGAGTTGAAAAATTGGTATTTAAATGTTCAGGTTTGTAGAGTTTGTAAAGTCTCCATTTGATGGATTCCCATTGTGGTGTAATGGACAGAGTGAACAACTAGGACTCTGGAGAACAGGTCTTCAGCCATGAAGGCTCACTGCAGGAATGGAACTGGTAAACCACTCCTTAAATTTCTCACTTACCTGGAAAACCCTATTAGGGTTGCTATTAGAGATAGGGGGGTATTTGTATCCAAATATGAATTATCCCCATGCAGCTGGAGTTAATGAGGATCTGGCCCCTGGGGCCGGACCATCCACCCACACATCTTCCACCGGCTGCTGGCCCTTCTCATCCTTCCTGGCAGACAAATCTTCCTGCAAGACTGCTGAGTGGCTAGCCGAGCAGCCCTCCGGAGCAATTGGAAGAAAGACAGACGCCGCTGCCGTATGTGTGAGTGGACGGGCTGGCCCCAGGGGCTGGACCCTCATTAACTGCAGCTGTGCAGGGATATTTGTATTTGTGTATGAATAGGAATATCCCCATCTCCAGTTGTTATAAGTTAGTTCTAGCTTGACAGCACATCACAAACATATTTGAGAAAAGGTAGAAGAAATATGCATGTGATCTCCTATTAAGCTTCCTAACACCTGGAACTGCTTTGTGGACAACAGCTGGAACCAAGATCATATGATGAGATTACATGTCACTTGCTGGTTCCATATAGTTCATCTAAGAAGTGAACCTCCAATTCCTGCAATGGCCGCAGAACTCTTCTGAGTGCCCACCATTATGGAACTTCCAATACCTGGGATTGTGGTGATTCAGGAAGGAGTTGCATAGAAGTCAGAGTTCTTATATATAGATAAGTAACTGAGAGCTATTTGTTCACATTATCAGGACCTTGGCATGAGCCCAGGAGTTTTCCAAGGTGTTCATTTGACGGCCACTGCACACTGAACCTCCCTTGAGGTCTTCATTACAATTATTACATACTTGCAGGCAAACATTGGGAACAATGTAACTAATAATACGTCACAGTGACAAGACAGGAAATGGGATTATACGGGAGGAAAATAAGTATGGCTGCTGAGTAAGGAATCTTTAGAAACAGGTGATACAGTAGATGATTTTTCCTAGCTAACCAAAGTTCTTATTAATTTTCAGGTGGTGACAACAGGACAGTCCCGCAATATTTTGTTGGCAGAGGAAAGGGGTTGTTATCTATTCCCCCCCCCCATTTCAGCTACAGAAGCTGACTAGAATAGCAGGTGACTAGTATTTCACTAGTGAAAGTGGGACAGAGTCCTCCATCACACATGAGTATGGAAGACTGGTTTAGGAAGTACAAGACAGGCTGTGTGACATACACAATCATGAGGGGCCAGACTTGTAACTGAAAAAGCACACTTAGACAGCTGCTACTGTTCTTCCCCAGTGTATGCCACTTCAGCTAGTTGCCTCACTGTACCTAATGGTAGGGCCAGCTTGGCAGACAGAAGTTAACAGGGTATAACACTATGCCCACACAATTTTTACATATTATTCTTCCTTTAGTATAATGGAAGATTCCTTTCAAATTGAAGATTTTCTTTTTCTTCTTCTTCTTCATATGAGCCCCTCACTACATAGTTTGGAAAGTGACAATGGGTGGCCTTGGCCCTATGAGGTAGGCATCAGGCATTTCTTCAGAATGGTTCTCCATAAAAGTTCTTTGTAGGCCTTAGAAATGTGAAATGTCCCAGGGAAGAGGGTGCGATCTTTGTAAATGTCCAAGGGAAGAGCTGCTGCCAGCTTTGCAATCTATGCTCTCTGTGCTCCAGAAGTCAGCTACGCAAAACCAAGCAGGAAATGCTTAAAATACAGCCCTGAAAATCTTACCTCATGTTCTAACATCTTATCTACGTATGGTTAAACAGAAGAACGTTGGGGTGTGGCCAGAGTATCACCCAGATTATACTTAGGTTTGGTGCTAACACAGAGTTTGCTATAATTGAGCCTCGCCTTCCTTTACTCCTACTGGAGATAATCACTCAGGAAATTCACTTTTCCCTTGCTTTAATTAAAAATATATTTAAACAGTTGATGCTAGGGCAAATGTAATGATCTACAAGACATGATTGTTGCTTAGAATCCCTCCACTTCATATATGTATGGAAAGGAGGGAAAGGAGGCGGTGAAACAAATGTGTATGAAGACTTCACTTTCTCCCACATTTTGATCTTTAAAAAAATCTCAACTTCTTCCGAAATATAAAAAGTCACTTGTGAATTTTAGTACTCTCTTTTAAAAATAAAAATTTAATGAAACTTTCTTCCATCTGCTGTGGCCAAGTTTTGTACAGCTGTTTCCAGACTGAATAAGGCTATGTGGTAGATCTGACTGAAAATGACTTTATTAAAGTTGTTGAGCATGTCAGGAATTTAGCAATAATGACAGCAATAATTATGTGTCATCAAGTCAATTCAGAGTTATGGAGACCTTTTCAGGCTTTTCTAATTGTGGCGACTCAAAAGTGGTTTATCAGGCCTGTCTTCTAGGGGCACTCTGGGATATTACAGCTTGCCCAAGGATACACAGGCTGGTTCTTCTCATGGGAGGCACAGTGGGAATTGAACTTTCAACCTCTGGCTCTGTATCCAATTACCCAACTCACTGAGCTATCCAGCCATCAGTTCAACACTAACATGGCTGAATAAAAAGGGATTTAATTTCAGGTTTTAAAGAGCTAAGTTCTCAAAATGTTCAGACTAGATGGACATAGCTATCAATTTTATTTTTTTCAACATCTGAAATTTTCTTCATCTCAGATTATTTCTGTCCTTAATATGTAGAGTTCTTACCAAAAGTTAACTGAGACAAAAATGCTCACCCACCCCTAGTTACAACTTCCCCATTGGAGGAGGAGACACAACCATTTCCTTCTGTACTTTAAGCAACAAAAGTAGACAAGGAATAAGAAAATTATAAGAAAATAGACCTCCATCTGTTCATGTATCCAATCCAAAAATGAAGTGATGCGACTGTAGACCCCTGGTTTATTTTCTTCAGCGCAGCCCACCCCAAAGCTGGTAGTTCCCACCAGCTTCCAAGTATTCAGGTCTTCACATACCAATGGTCCTCCACTATCTCCCTGAAAAAGGCAAAACAAAGCTTTATCTTTGTTAAAGGCTGTGACTGCCTAGTGAGAAAAATGTGAATTGGCCCACTGTGAAGTCACACGTGAAATATTGGGCTTCTCTAGATAAATTTGCATTAACTGATTGCATAGGGAGATAGAAGGAAATTGACAAACAGCCTTGTTTGCAGCTTGCAACTTTGCTGTCCTATAGCCCTCCTGATTTCCATAGGCTGCAAACAACAAGCAAATGGCAATTTCCTCCTCTCACTCTCTATTTCCCTTGTTCTATTTGGATTTTTGTAGTGTCTAGGTGTTCTAGCACAGCGGTCCCCAACCTTTTTGGGACCGCAGACTGGCTGAGCCTCTGAGGAAGGTGGGGTACCCCCTGGGCATGTGCGCTCTCTCGGGCACATGCGTGAAGCAGTGGGGGAGTGTGCACCCACCCACCAGCACCAGTGTGAGTGCTCCCCCACCGCTTCACACATGTGCAGGAGCGCCTGCACGCTCACACACATGCACACCCACCCCTTCGTGTGGGTGCTCGGGCACATGCGTGAAGGGGTGGGGGAGCACTCAGGCCGGTGCTGCCACGCATGCATGTGCACAAAGCAGCTGTGGAGAGTGGAGTGCATACAGGAGGATCATGCATGTGTGCAAAGCAGCTGTGGAGAGTGGAGTGAGTGCAGGAGGGTAGCAGGAGGTCTGTCTCTGCGGCCCAGTCTGACTCAGGCCATGGACTGGCACCAGGCCGCGGACCGGGAGTAGACTACCTCTGCTCTAGCACAACCACTTTTTTAAAAAGTCATTATTTGCAAAGATCTTGTTCTCCCAGTGTTTTTGTAGCCACCAACCACTGCACCATTGCCCCAACCATCAATACTCCTTCACACACTTTCCTGCATCAGTTCAAATGACCACATCACCTGACTCAATGCAAATGGATCTGCTGTCAAAAAAAGTAAAAGCTCCTGTGGTGGAGGGAAAAACTATGGAATGCAGACTCATTCACCTTGCTTTTACATCATGTGGTCAATGGGGAAAATGTGAATCAGACTGTCCCAGTCCCATAGCTTTTCCCACATTGTATGTTAATACAGTCATACCATCAGAAAGAAACAATAGGAAATATTTGTATAACAAAAACAAAGTGTTGTGGCAACTTCAAGAATAACAGACATGAGCAATGCTTTCACTTTTGTGATACATGGTGGGACAGACTAAAATGGCTTCCATTTTGAAAACTGTTAGCAGAAAATTTTGTTCATAATATTTGATCAACATGTGTTAACACACAATTGTTTGGAAAACCTATTGAAACAGCAAAGGAAAAAATGAGTTCTCTGTTTGATCAAATTGTGCTTTCAGAGGACCACTAAGCAACAGAATATAACCATTTATAAAAGAAGCACACTATTTAATTAGCATTACTTAGAAGCCATAAATGAACAACCATCCCCCTTTTTGTCAGGAGACGCAACAACACGATGCTGAGGCCAAAAGAATAAGGTTAAGAAGATGTCCTTTCTGCAAGTCAAGCCATTGGCCCATTTAGTATTGCTGTCATTTACTCTGACCACAAATTGTTCTGCAGGGACTCAGGTAACAGCCTTTCCCAACATCTGCCATCTGATCTTTTTCATTGTAGATGCCCAGAATTCAGCTTGAGAATTTCTCCATTCACAGCATGTACTGTACCAATAAATTATAGCCCTTTTCCATTTGGCTGATCCCTTTGCTGCTTTTCTGTACATTCCTTCTTTCTCACAATGATTAAACTCCTTTCTTCATAATATTTCCAGTAACGTCCCCCTACAAAGTATCTGTATCTCTGTGTCCCTATACAGTTGTCTCATACACCCAACAAATTGACAAACGAAAAATTGCTAAAATTTTTGTTGATTTGTATTCATCAGGGGCATTTTTTTCCCATAGGTGACAAAACATGAGTTTCTATAGATTTTCAAAATAATGCTGTGTATATGTGTGTCTTCCGAATTTACCTTGAATGGATCATGCATTTCAGAGAGTCACCATTAAGAAATGTTCTTACCTGGCATGTATCTATGCCTCCCTTTAAATATCCTGCACAGAGCATTGATGAAGCTACAATTCCTCCATAGACCTCCCTGTGGTTGCAGACTTTGTTAGAAATCAAAGGAACACCAGCATAATTCATGGTCTCTGAAGTGTCACCTATTTTCAAAACAGAAGTTAAATTCTGTTCTTCAATGGAAACAAGGGTATAATTTTAGAAAAACACTATCAATGATTTTAAATACTGTGTCCTAAGCAACATTCCACTTTAGTCCACTCTGAATAATTTTGCAGGTACTGTAAAATCACTCAAATCCACTCTGACCTAGATGCCATAGTTGACACAGGTCCTATGAATGTAACTATGCCCCCGCTTGACGGTGCAGACAGGAGCCTTGAAGAAGTGACGACTGTCACATGGCTGTTGAACCCTTGCTCTTCCTTGGTTATAAAAGCTCCCAGAGAGGAACTGGCTGATTCTGTAGGAGGTCATAAATGTCTCCTTGCAGCAGGGTATCATCCCAGCATGCTTAAAGGAGACAAAAGTAAGGCCATTGCTTTAAGAAAAAAGTGCTCTCCTTGGATTCCACAGTATTGTCCAGTCCCTAATGTTCCATTACTGGGCACGGTGTTGGAACAGATTGCAGGTTATCCACTCCTGGATGAGATGGTTTACCTAGATCCATTCCAATCTGGTTTCGGGCTTGGTTATGGGACAGAGACTGCTTTGATCGCCTTGCTGAATGACCTACTGTATGCTGGGAACTGGACAATGAGAATGTGTCAGCAGCCATCAGCCATGGTATCCTGGGCCATCTCTCTTGGATTGGACTTTGAGGCACTGTTGTATGATGCTTCTAGACTTTCCTAGGTGGAAATCCCTTTTTAGAGAGAGCTGAACCATTTTTTCCATCTTATGCACTGAAATCAATGTACCCATGCTTGTTATGGGACCCAAGTAGACACCCAGGACACCACCACCACCACCACTTGAGTGCTGTAAGGAGATATTCATGTAAAGGAGCTTGTAATACACATGCATCAGCAATTCCTTCTTACTTTCTTGTTAGCCTGGAACTGCAGTTTGGCAGTTCATGCTCGTTTGTTTACCAGACAAACAGGTGCTTGGCGCTTCCAAGCACCGCTACCTCTGGAGGGCACCCACTCAGAGGCAATGCCCAGAGGAAGTGCAGCAGGGAAGCCAGAGTGCTGCCTCTGAGTATATGCCTGCCAGAGGTGGCGGGACTTGAAAGCGCCAAACATCTGTTTGGCCAATAAACAAAGTGGTGGTTTGTGCCCATCTCTAGTCTGGAATGTTTAAATGTTTTATGGCTGTCTTTGCTGAGTTAAATTTTCATAACACAGCAAATAGCAAGTATTAATTTCTCATGTTTAAATACTTACCTCCTTCTTCCATTGCTCCCCATCCTGATATCCAACACATTTTCCCTTCTGGAAAATGTTCTCCAAAATTAGGAAGACAAATTGGCTCTATGAGACCTGTGTGAAAAGAAACATCTGCACTTCAAGTTGGTAGAATCATACAATTCATTGCTTTGATAATAACACAAGGGCAAATGTTAGTGTTTCATTTATTTGTTACGCATAAACATATTTCATCTCTCATAGACCCTCCCTGATCAGTTTAAATGACATGCCCATGTGATCTCCTAGACGTACCTACACATTTGGGCAAACATGAATGGAAATACCAGCGATTTTGATCTCTGCAGGCCTTTGACACAAGGCCTGTTGTGGTTTAAAATGATTCACATTTTTTAAAACCACACCTGGGCTTCTGTCACTGACTGATGCTCAGAATCTTCCCAGTTACTGAGAGCACTGGGGGTGGGACAGCTGTCTTCACCCACTCCCCCCACTCCCAAGAACAGCATCATAACCAGTGCTGGAAGGTTTCCCTGCTGTCTCAACACTGGTTGACAAGTGATGTTTTTGTTACAGGTGCTGCTCCTCCAGTAGCTCCTTTTTCACTGCATGTTGAGTGGTTGAGTTGCTGCACTGACCCTGCCACTGTCTGTAGCAGTGGCAAGTCTCCCAGCACTGGCTGGATGGCGGCTGCTTCATGTCCTGTTAATGTCAGGAATCACATTAAAACTGGATGTGTGAAATAAGTGGTTTTGTGTCTGTATCCAGAGGACCTGCATTAAAAAGCTTACTGTGGGTAGTCCCTTTCCTAATTTAAATAACCTCATAAGTGCAGACTAATTTTAGCTACATAATGTGCCTTGGCCTACATCACTGGTTCTTAACCTTGGGTTACTCAGGAGTTTTGGACTGCAACTCCCAGAAGCCTTCACCACCAGCTGTCCTGACTGGGGTTTCTGGGAGTTGCAGTTCAAAAGCATCCGTGTAACAAAGGTTAAGAACCACTGGCCTACATTATCTATATATTAATTAATCTGTGGCAGCAAAACATGTGGTACTTCTTGCCTACAGTGATATGGATGGCTAAGGAAATTCAGTTACTCGAGGAACACAATGTGAGCAGTCAGGTTTCTGTGAGGGAAGGGAAAGTGTTAATTTGGCTTGGGTTAGATTTTATTTATTTATTTATTCTATTTATACCCCGCATATCTGGTCATTTCGACCACTCTAGGCAGCTTACAACATAGAAACATAAAAAATATAAGAAAAATTATAACAATTAAATAATTCTGCAAGATGGGAAAGATACAAAAAAATCAAATAGAGAGAGAAGGGAAGATCACTACAAAGATATTCCTGAAGTTTGGGAAGCTGAACAAGATAAGGAAAGGAGGCTTAAAGAATGGTGCTCAGTAGGCAATGGGTTCAGGTTATGAAAAATGAAAGAAGAATAAGTAGAGAACTATGTTTGAAGATAAAATCGAATAGCAGAGAACTGTGGGGGAAAAGTTATTAGCAGAGGGGTACCTGAAGAAACTTCATGGCACAATCAAGAGAGACAATATTTTTCTGGGGAAAGGTATAGTTGAGTTGCTTGACCAGCTAACCAAGCAGGAGATTGGCCAAAAAGAAGGCGAAGCAAAGCTGACCATATTCTAAGTAGGGCAGAATGGAGGAAACCATGAATAATGGAATTGTTTTGGTTGTAGGGGAAAGGGGAGAGAGCCAAAGAGAAAGAAGCGCTTAAGCTCTTCACTATTGGCAGGAAAGACGCAAGCAGAGAACTTCTTTTCATTACATGTAAAATGTTGGGTAAAAGTTTGAGCACACCTATAAATAGTTCTGAGTGCATCACTATGAATGTCATAATAGTTGATGTGAAAATTAGATATGGTTTGGAAACCATCAATTCACCATCCATTTAGAGAATCTGGCATTTTTTTGTTTACAGCTGAAGTTCACCATCCACATGCAGAGCCTTTAGTGTGGTGAGCCCACATCTGTATAGTGATGGCAAGTTGATTTCAAGATTAACACAGACCTTGCAGCCTTTATGATTTTGGTGATAAGAGGATCACCTTCAAGAAACAAGCACTCATTTTTCAAATGGCTGCTGATGTATCAGATCAAGAGAAAGGCATGTGAACTTGTGAATATTGTTGTATCGTGAATTGCTGCTATACACAACCTCTGCTGATGTATCAGATCAAGAGAAAGGCAATTTCTATGTGAACTTGTGAATATTGTTGTATTGTGAATTGCTGCTATATACAACCCTGTGGGGTTGGTATCTGGTTCAGATACTGTACATTATAGGTCTAGTTTCAAAATTGTAGCCATTTTAGTCTGTGCAATCATATCCGCAAAAATTTGCTTTTGTTTTTTTTGTGTGCGTATATCATAGATCTAGACCTATTATTATTAGTGACAACAATCATTCCAAGAATCAACATGAAATAAATTCTCAAAAATAAATGAGAAACAAATTGTAAGAGATACAGAATTACCATTTAGAACAAGTGGATTGGCCAGCTTAATCAACGCGATGTCATTCTTCATTGTTTTAGGCTTATAATTTTTATGGTATATTATTTTGTCCACTACATATGAATTAACAGAATTTTCTTCCAGCATTACAAAACCCACATGCACACTCCAAGCGGGAGGCAAATACAGACTGAAACAAAGATGTCAGAAAGAGAATATTAGCAACATTCAGCCTTTATGACACATTTTTGTCTTGATACTGAGTAAATTAGGCATTATTTCCAAGGCATTATTTCCAAGAATAATGAGGCTATACTAAAAGACACATACTCTGGAAATAATGCAGAAATGTAATAGCATCTTGTCAAGTGCTTAGCTACGATTCCCTTCACAATTAGAACTGATGTTTGATACTGTAGAATCAAATTAGTAATTAAAAATTCTGCTTTGAATTTCTAGCTTGTCTGTTAAAAGAACCAAGAAAAGATTGTATCCTGTAAATTTTACCTTTTTCTCATAGTCAAATTATCTCTTACTATATGATCTATTCCTCTGAATTGTTTCTGTTGCTGCTGCTGCTGCTCCTGTTAAGCATCCACTTCTTGTTCAAGGTATTGAACATTCCCCTAGGTAAAGTTAAAGATCTCTTACTATATGATCTATTCCTCTGAAATGTTTTTGTTGCTGCTGTTCCTGCTCCTGTTAAGCATGCACTTCTTATTCAAGGTATTGAACATTTCCCCTAACCAGTGTCAACCCCCTTGACAATTTTTGTCCAGTCGTGTTCGACTCCAGGGGGCAGTGCTCACCCCCGTTTCCAAGCCATAGAGCCAGCGTTTTGTCCAAAGACAATCTTCCGTGGTCACATGGCCAGTGCGACTTAGACACGGAACGCTGTTACCTTCCCACCGAGGTGGTCCCTATTTATCTACTTGCATTTGCATGCTTTCGAACCGCTAGGTTGGCGGGAGCTGGGACAAGCCACAGGCGCTCACATCGTCGCGTGGATTCGATCTTATGACTGCTGGTCTTCTGACCCTGCAGCACAGGCTTCTGCGGTTTAGTCCGCAGCGCCACCACGTCCCATGAACATTTCCCCTAACCAGTGTCAATAGAAGGCTTAAACTGCTCCTTACACTCACCATTACACCACTTCTCCACCTTCATTAAATATATTTTTAAGAATGTTGATTTAAACATATGTACAGCCTGTCCAGACTGACAGAGTTTCTTACAGAAGATACACTTGTTTTTTCATAATCTCAGGGCTATGTGAAGAAAGTATAACCACTGGTGGATCATTGTCCATGAAGTTTGTCAATAAAATCATTCAGCTCCATTCTGTGTTTTGACACCCTACATAGCTCATAGCCCTGCCTGTCCTGTATAACTGATATGTTTCAATTTGTGCAGCTTCAGAATAGGAGTTGATCACAGGGTGTGATATATTTAAAAGGAAAAGAGAAACTGTATTAGAGTGAATGAATTGAAGTCAAATAGAGACTTGACACATGTACTCAAATCCCTTTAATGGACCAGAAGTTTGTAGTTTGAGTGCACTCATGGATTCAGCTCTGGATCTGGATCCTCACATTTCAGTAATAGCCAAGAGTATGCTTGTTAAATCCAGCATACCAACTGCACCCATTTCTGGAAGTGTCAAATCTGACCACAATGACAAATGCATGGCTACCCTGTGTTTAGATTTTTGGGACATTCCCTGTGATCTGCCAAAGAATTGACATGAATGGCTCTGTGGTGCAATGAGTTCATATGTTGCAGCAGCACCTTGGGAAGTGCTCACAAAAATGCACCTCCTGTACCACTGCTGTAACATGAAAGGCATTAAAAGTTTACAGGATGCCTATGATGCCTAGATGCTTCTGTGTAAAATTTAAGCATTGTTGAAGGCTGGGATTTTCTTTTTAAGTCTTAAGTATACAAGTTGCAGAGGGAGGCAAACACATATATAGGCTAATCCCAGAAAGATCAGTGACAAGTTTGTGAGGGGCAAAAACAGAGATGTGGAAGGACAAGAGAGTTCTAGATGCACTCAGAACCTGTCTGTTCTTTGATTATGAGTACACTCTGAGTGAAAACCATGGGATCCGATATACAGTACGCAGGCAGGCGTGTTTAAAACATGGCAAACTTACTCATAGACACAGTGAGCTGCTGTCAGAACCCACCAGGAGGTGATGATGGATCCACCACATAAATGGTAGCCTTGAAACTGAAGGCTAGCTTGCCATGGCCATTGGTGTGGCAATGAGGCATTTCCTCCAACAATGCGCGAAGAATACCTGGACCGACTGCCACATGCTATTGGAACAGAAAAGGAGAACAGTTAGGGTCAGGCTGTCACAATTTGTAAACTCTTAGATGAATGAGGTACTCATGCCTTTCAAAGTAATATATAAGTCAGAGAGGTACAAAGATGTGAATTGCTGGACTGAACTCACAGGAGCAGGTGATACCTTTATTATACCACTACAGAAAATCAAGCAAACAACAGGCAGCTAGCTTTCAATGATAATTCATCTTATTCAGGCTGTGCACCAAGTTTTTGTGGGCAGTTCAGAAAATTACATGTATACTCTTATTAAAGTCCCAAAGGTCATATAATGAAAGTGCATAATTTTCTGAACTGCCCACAAGAACTTGGTGCACAACCTGAATAAGATGAATCATCATCCAAAGCTGGCTGTCTGTTGTTTGCTTGACTTTTCAGTGGTCTAATAAAGGTATCGCTACCAACATGAATTTGACCCAACTCCGGGAGCCAGTGGAAGACAGGAGGGCCTGGTGTGCTCTGGTCCATGGGGTCACAAAGAGTTGGACATCACTAAACAACAACAAATAAAGGTATCAACTGCTCCTGCATTTGCATTGCTTGGAAACCACATGGCCCTTTTCTGATTTTTGCAGAAAATATTCTTTCTTTCAATCTATATGTATCCAGAGATAAGAAAAGTTACCTGTTAAGACTACAGTTCTAGAAAATTCCAGCCAGCACAGTCAGTAGACATGTTTTCTGACATGGAGCACTGAAATACTTGCACAGCTCCTCTTTCTTTTTACACAGTCTTCTAAGTACACCACAGTATCTTCAGACTTTAGCTGTCATTATTCTGCCCCAACATTTAGGGCTGAATTGAGGTCAGAATCTGCTCTGTTCCCCAAAGCACTTACCCAAACATTTTAAGACTATCACATTCCCGGAGGCACACTCTTCTCTGAAATGAAAAAAGTAATAGATTTTAAAGCACGTTTCTTCACATTCCCCACCATTCAACAACCTAAAAATGGTATTAACATTCAATCTACAGTATGCATCTAAACAACTGATTATTATGCTGTTAACAAAATCTGTAATCCCTGCTACCATAATTTTCATTACTATCAATATGAGACAGTGGTCAAAAGGCTTAAGTTTTAGTGAGTGTACTAATTCAGCACTAGCCATCACTTCTGAGGTACATGGGGACCCTGTTATGCCCATTCTTCCATTCTACCATCTTGTCTCTTCCCTTCCCTTCTTTTCAATTGGGCATGAATAGTTCTGAGAGCTTCAAAACATGCCTGGCCATTACTCCCACTAGAAAAACTTTCTCTACTAGGGATTAATGAATCTGTCAATTTTGCTTTGAAGTGTGTGTAAGAGAGAGAGGAAGGAGAGAGAGAAGGAGGGAAGGAGAGAGAAATCTCAAGTTCTTTCTGTATAAATTTTAACAAGTTATTTTTTTTTAAGTACTGAAGGAAAAATCGCGAACATCTGCACTGATCCTAATTCAGCAGCACAAACATGGCTAAATAAAGATTAATTCATGCTGTTTCTGAAGATCTAAAGACTGATAAATAATCATTACTAGTTTCTCTCATATTCATTTCTTCAGTTGTGGTCACGTGATATATATATATATCAGTATGAATGCCCCAAGCACGTTGAGTGGCAGCCATCTATTTCCTTCTATTTGAATGGATATGGCTGGCTACACAATGCTGCCAGTTTATTTTCTCTCTATCCTCAGTGGCCCATTTATCCCCTCAATTAAAATAAACAACAGAATTATTCTCTTTATCAATATATAGATATAATTCAAAGGGGTCTTCTGTTTTGAGAAGTATCCTCCATTACTCTGGTTGATCCTGCAGAAACACAATGCACACAGTGGACACTGGACTACCATATGTCACTGTATATCCACTGGATATTGGAACAGAGAAGTCAAGCCGCACAGGTATCATCTATCTAAAAACCTAGGCATAAGTTCACCCAGTTATCAATTACAGGGCCACAAATACAAAGAAGGCAGACTCTTGGCAGTGAGGACAGCAGGCTCCACCTACACATATGAACACACAGGCAGGGTGACTGTAAAGCTTTTTTCTTTCTTGCGGCCATAATGATGACCACCCTCGGCTAAATGTATCATTGATATGTTTTTTTTAATAAAAAATCTCAGCTGTAATGTACTTTTAGCAACATATCAATGTACTAGACAGGATGGGGGGAAATAATAATATGCAAGTGACAGTAATGACAGCAGTCTTTCAACCTTTGCCTCAGAAAAGAAGCAGGGTGGGTCATGCGCACAGGCAAACCTGAGAAGGAATGCACTGATACAATAGAAGCACAAAATAACACAAGCCTCTCAGGGAGTGGAAAATAAACCACAGTTACATCATTGGCAGGGAAAATGTTTTGATTGTGACTGTGCATCATGTGACCAGAAAAAACAACAACAACATAACTGGTGGATAACTAAAGAACATTTCCCTCATGTGACCATGGCCTTAGATCAATTTTCTAATGTTCTTTCCAATGGAGGAACAGTAAGGATATAGTGAACAGCTTGAAATGATGTCTGGTGTGCATCCAGCTACATAATGTTAGATTCCACAGTTCCTCAAGAACATTCCACAAGAACATTTTCTTCTACTGGTTTCTATTTGGGTTTTCTGTCCAGTATATTTGTATATCTTTCTGTAATGAAACACTCAAATCATACCGTAGGTAGGTAGCATTCTGTGGAGATGTCAGCTGATCAGCTGATAACCATTGATTTGCTGTAACAAAATACTTCTGAAACTCATCTTCAACGGCAGCCACAGGAAAGTCGGCTGAACTCAAAAAACTGCAAATGATAAGCATTATTCAGCAAATCCCAATTATTCTCATAAAGGATTTTCCCTCAGTCATTTCCATCCTATATGATTTGGAGAAGTTAAATGGTTTACAATAAAATTATAAAGTGGTCATTAAAACATTACATATGTGTTTAAATAGACCAGATATTAGTAAAGCGGGCAATGAACAAAACAAAATATATCCTATAAAAACAGAAAGGCATTGTGGCTTCCACCTGAACATTCCTTTCTTAGGCAGACTGATCACTGGTTTGAATGAGCCCAAAATGACTCTAAACCAGAAGCCAGCTGGAAATCCATTCCTGTTTCTAAATGAAACAAAGAAATACCCTCCCCTACACCACAAAGCTCTGTGTGAACGTGCACATATGTGTGTGCCCAGTACATTTATAAGAACAACAACAAGAGATATCCTAAGGGCTAAATACAACTTCAGTTCCAAGAGTGGGTAGAATTCAGTGAGTTGGAGAATTTGACTACAGAGCGAGGAATCAAGAGAGGGAAACCTATTGTGTTCTTTAAGGAGAGGATCTAGCCAGGATCACCCAGAGCATATATAGCTGACAGACGTACATATGTGCCCTGCCATGGGGTAGGGTGGGGCTTAGACAAGCTAAATGGTCCTAGAACACCATCAAACAGGGCAACTGATTAACTTCTTCTGAGTACTTTATGCCCAGAAAACTCAAGAAGGATTACTATAAGTAGAATCTGACTTCACTGTACATAATTACTACTTACACTGTGGTAACCAAGGGAGCTTATATAAATGTTCATTAATAAATTCCTTAGTCTCCAGTGTAATACTATGTCAAAATAAACACACATCCGCACACCTGTACTGATTACTCCGACAATAACTGTCTTTTAATAATATAAGCCACCTTGAGTCCTTCTTAAGGAGAAAGGCAGGATAAAATATTTTGAATAAATAAATAAAAATAACAATCAAATCTGGTCACTTTGTTGTCAAAGTTATGTTAATATACTTAAGATCAGTAGGCACTTTACTAACTAACCATTCAGTAACTAGTTTTAAATTTTTTCATTGTGTTTCAGGAAGTCAGATCTAATAGGAGGGCCTTCCCTTTAAAACAAGATTCTGATTTTGCAAAGCCTTCTTTTAAAGTGTGGAGGCTTTTCAATTTCCGTTCTCAGTTAGTGATATTTCTAAGCAGTACCTGGAGAAGCCTAAGTACTTGCATGTAACACTGCCATAGCCAGCCTTCCAGTCATCTGAACACATAGTCCTCCAAGTTCCAAAACTGAACACCTGCAGCACAGCCTCCTTGCCACTCAGTCTGACTGCAGGAAAGAGAAAGTCAGCAAATGCAGGTCACTACGATGACTTCGATGAAATCTGACAGTTACAGCTAATAAACAGTATCCTGTTGCTCATTAACAGTATATAGCATCATTCTGCACACAGATCCTCTTTCACTGCTATTTGTACAAGGGGAAGTCCCCAAAGCTTTCAACCTGTGGATCTCCAGTTTGTGTACATAGTGTACTGGAGCTTACAAACATAGAGTGCTCCAGCTGAAAAGCCCCCACAACTCATCTTGGCCAACAGGATTCTGGTATGTATCTTCCCCTTGATGTTTCCATTTAGGCATTGTCTTTCACATACTTGTTCCTGTTTTCATGTTAAAAACTGTTGAACTATATTCACAGAGCTATAATTAGCTATTTTGCTGTCCAGGCCAAACAATGCAAACTGTGCCCCCAAAACAACTTTGTAATTGATGATGTGAAAGTAATTACAGTGTAATTACATTGCTGAACACTATGCCAGCATCTCCCCTCCTCCACAAGGGATCAGCAGCACTGTCAGAGCTGCAAGAACAAAAACAAATCAGAAGTGTGTTTAATATAATATAATGTAATGTAATATAATGTAAAGCTGCCTTATCAGTGGCAGCTGGCCTTTTATGTCAAGGAGACAAGAGCAATTACTTTATTACCTCCCATGGAAATGGGCATCCCCTGTTGTTTGGAGAAGGACTGCCAAGGAGACCAGGTTCACAGAAGGACAGAAGGACAAGGCAAGAGAATTGGGGTGAGGTTGTTCTAGAAACAATGCCCATGGAAGGAGCTCATTCATAAGAGTGGAGTAAACCTCTCTTTTGGATTAATACACCTTTTGGGGAACTGCAGAATGGAAGACAAATTGGGCAAGCAAATTCATTTGAAGTTGAGCTACTGCTTACATTAATAAAAGTTAGAATAAAAGTTCCTTTTTTTGAATTACACCTTGTCTCTGACCTCCGTCTCTGGCCCAGTAGGACCCTTTCATGCTTGCCACCAATGGATGACCAGGGGGCTGTACAATATATCTATATATGTATACTATACAGCTTGTTGTGTGGTCCAGGCTACTGAACTCTAGGTAGAGCAGATCTCCATCCAACTGCCTCTGCCTCTTGTTCTTCCAGAGCTGGACCAAAGGCTTGGTCTCCTGAGCCTCAGGTTGACCTGCCATCTGATGGGGAAGGCTTAATTTACAACAGCCAGGTAGATGTGCCCTCTGCTTCCTCAGCACAGTTTAATATACTGACCATCTTTCCTCTGCAATCCTTAGCAGTCTGCCGAAGCAATAGACCAGGCCACTAAGGCAGTCCCTGGTGTGGTATGCTTTCCCTGCAGGTGGCTGTGAACTTCGCATGCCCTCTGAACTTGGAGCTCTGGGACAAAGCCCACATTGCTCTGCTCTAGTTAGAGCCCTGTATATTTATAATTGCACATGGGTCTTTGGATAAGATCTGCCACAACGTATTAAGGTAAGTTTTGGATCTAGAGGTGCTGGTAAACATTTCTAGACCAGGTGATTGGTCTTAATAGTCCACCATGTTGCCAAGTAATATTGTTAACTTATATACATGATCAAGCACTGTTTGTGTGCAGAGGTATTGAACAGAATTTCCAAATACTGTACCATCTGAGTATACTTTTAAGGAGAAAGGCCTACACTGAGTTTTGAGGTGGGATAGCATGTTTAATTCATAATAAAAATCCAGGTTACCACATCTGTATTCATCCTCTCCATCTTTACAGTTGAAGACGCCATCACACCTTGCAGTTTGAGCAATACATTTAAAAGATGATGTGCACCGAAATCTCCCACTGCAGTTGAAGTAAGCTGGCAGAATGGAAGAAACCACATCACATTAGCACAACAGAACTTAGCTTTGTGCCATTGCAGCCATAATGAACAATATCTAGCCCATGGACCACACATAGCCTTTGAAGGTGTTTTTTTTTAAATGACTCTTAGTTCCTCCTATTGCGGCCGAGCCTTTGAAGGTTTTTTAATGACTCTTAGTTCCTCTTATTGCTGCTGAGTCAGCCACTGTGGTTTGACTTGTTTCCAACCTATATTTTCCTGGAGAGGATCTACCAGACTTTTAGGTTATCTAATCATCTGATAAGCCTGCAAGATGCTCTGCTCTTGGTTCCATGGGACCCTATGGAGCAAAAAAATGTTCTAACACCCTCCTGCACAATACAACCATCACTGGCATTTAGTTGCAGCTGTGAGGATGGTGGTCATCACAATGGGGAGTATCCATCCCTCAAATGGGTCAAGGTGGCTAATGTGGCTGTTCATCCCTGTTAGTGAGACAAACTGGATATTTACCTCTGGCGAGGATTCAAATTTCCATTTGCCCACTCCCTGCTTTTAAGTGATGGAGGGAGAGACTGAAAACAATGCCCGGTGAATGAAGGAATAAAATGGAATATTTGAAAGGCCTTCTCTGAATTGTCATACAATGCTGACAATCCTATTTACTAGAAATATGATTTATAATTATAAACTATAATTTAAAAATGTGCTTCAGATTCAGAATTTATACCACCACCAAAGTGAAGAGGGGGAATTTGTTTCCAAATCAATCCAAAGCAAAGCAAGGAAGTCTGAAGTGATGTTTGGATTGAATCAGGGCTCACTGAAGTATCGAATTTTGCTTTGACACATCAGAGGTTAAAAATTCAAGGCAGCTTTTGTTTCAGGCAAGAGGGGCTAATTAATATAGGACAGATTAATGGAAAGGCAGGAGCTGGGCAAGGGGCAAATTACATAGTTGCCCACAGGAAGGAAGAAAACTGGTGGGTTCTTAACATGCATGCTGGAGATTAAACAGTGTTTATTATCCCCATTTTCATGTATGTTTCCCAATACAGTATTTGGACAACTACAAATATGTATAGTACTTTAAAATATTTGCATGCAAATTGAATTGGACAGAGCACGTTGCAGACTGGCTCAAAGACTGGCTGTGATAAAGCAAATAATTTGGACCAAATCAAAGCAGATGGTATTTGCTCACTCCTAATCCAGTGATAGTTCAAGGTTTAGCTCCCCCTTAGAAGTGATAAAAGTTATGTTCTCTTGAAAAAGACCCTCCCACTTCCACTCCTTAGTCCTAAGGATACTTAGTCCTTAGTCCTTCTGTCTTAAGAATATAAGTACAGCCAGTGGACTAAACTAATAGGCCATCTAGTCCATCATTGTGTATAATAGTGGTCCCCAACCTTGAGCCTCCAGATGTTCTTGGACTTCAACTCCCAGAAATCCTGGCCAGTAGAGATGGTGGTGAAGGTTTCTGGGAGCTTTAGACCAAGAGCATCTGGAGGCCCAAGGTTGGGGACCACTGGTGTATAACACAGTAGTCAGTGTGTGTGCATTCCAGATTCCAAATTCCTCCCTATTGCAAGACTCACGTCAACTAGCAATCCTGCCTGTTCTTTCTATTCCATGCTCAGTGCACTGCTTATAAGGATTAGTAAATGAAATGCTTACAGATACTACATTGTGATTGCTGTCATTACCACCAGAATCACCGGTATCTGGCACTCAAAGATATTTCCACTAACAAACGAGAATGTTAAGAGGTGGAATATGAGTGTGTGTAAATATCAGGCACAACAATCCCTTTACCATCCCCTATGATTCAGACTACACCCGTACATCCCATGCCATCTTAAAGTGACTGACACATGATCGAGAAATGGTATAATCAGTTGGATTTGAGTTGTGCCACATGCTATATTTAGCATAGATCTGTTGCTCAGTTCATGCTCTTAATGCACCACTTAGGCTCCTTCGTTTTGGTTATCCCAGGAATACAAATCTGACAAGGAGCATCCTATAAAAACACGGTTTGCATTTCGCACCCTCAGGTGCATGCTTTTGAAGGGTGGCTTTCTGCACATTTGGGATGGAAAGGACCTCAATATAGAAGAAACCAAAAAGGGGGGGGGCAGATTTCATTAACACAAGTCCAAGGTTTTTCAGTGTTGAATTATTAAAAGCCTGAGTTTGAAGCCCTATTTATTGAAGCATGTTGATGCTGAATTAGAGCTAACATTTTTGTGACCCATTTCTCTTATGGCAGGCAATTCTTGCCATGCAGCAGACAGCTGTACCTGTTGAACTAGGCCAGTGAAAATGGGGAGAATTTTGTTACAGTTCTTTTCTGAAAAATTTTCCAAACTTGGCAGGTTGCTTATGTAGGATGAAAAGAAATCAAAACATTTGGGTGAATGTGGGGAAAAAAAACAGATTGATTTTTCTTATCTGTACATGGAACTCCATGTAAATACACTCAAAGTAGACATCAAGGCAGGGCCAAACAAAGGTGTTTGAATGGGGTTTATTCAAATGAAATGATCTGAGTAAATATCTGCTCTGGTGTAGAGATCTCATAATGAGAGTGACTTTTAAAAAACCAAGCAGCAACAAAAATTGAATATGCAACCTTTGGTAGCAAGTTAATCCTGTTCTCAGTAGGAGACTCATGAAAAATGCAGATTCTTCAATAGCTAATTGAGAACCTAATAAATAAGTTATTTCTACTCACCACCCAGGCCAATTGCAACTGCCATGATCGCTGTGACCAATAAGGCAAGGAGAAGGGGAAGCAGTCTTAGCGGGATGAAAACATGGCACTGAGGTGTTGGGATGTCCTCTGGAAGTCAAACAGAAAAGTGAGAAACAACAGCCTCTGGAAGATACATTCAGTGTTAGATACTGCATTACATATGTTTAATTTAAGCAGGACCAGCAGTGTTCATTCCTACCCCAGAGTCATATCAGGGATGTACATGGGGAACATGTACTCCCTGCAGATGTCTCTGAATTACAAATCCCATCATTCCTAGGTAGCAGTCTATGGTGAGAAATAATGGGCCTTGCAATCCAGCAGTATCTGGGTGTCTGAGATATACATCTATAAGGCATCTATTTCCTTAGTATATCATCCCTGTGTTCCCCAATGCTTTTTTTCATGGGTCAAGTAGAACACATCTTTTCAGTTCTACTTTTAAAAGTGTTTGTAGAGTGCAAATTATGGGGCTTGAAGTGATGGCAACTGCACAATATATACACCAAGTGTCAAACAATGCCCGACAGATTTCTCAGATGTAGAACAATAGATTTAGTAATAACATGCTGCTCATATTTAAGTTTACAGTGTCCATAGGATTTTCCATATGGTAATTCTGACAGGATACTTTATTGAAGCATAGAGAGCAAAGAGGGCCAA